AGAATAAGTAGAAGAAGAAGAAGGTATGAGCAAAATCTATTCTGTTTCCTGTAATGTGCATGACTCGGGCTGCCAGAGTAAAAGGTGTTATTTCTTTTTTCTTTTGGTCTAAAAGCGGTGCATTAAGGCTCCCCACGTCTAGGACTTTTGCAAAGCATCAACAAGTGTGTTATAGCTGCACAGCATTTAATTCCCTATAGAACTGATGGCAGGCACTTCTTGACAAAATCTCACCTAAAAAAAAAAAAAAGAAAAAAGAAAATACTAGTTTGTATCTATTTTTTCCTTGTATACTAACCTTTTACTTACTTTTTTAGTCTTTATGGTTACTAAAAGGAATTCTGTAGCCTAGGAGATTTTCAAGACAGATTTTTTTTCAGAATATACAAAAGTGAATGTGAACACACAGGATCTTAACACTAGAAGTCTATTGATGGCTTGCAGACACTATCAATAATCTTAATCACGAATACAATACAACTATATCGTGTTTAACCTTACATGTATGTAATATTACTATAATAAATCAATAATGTAGTTCTTTTTTTTTTACATTGTATAACTATTAAAATCAATGTGTGGATTTGTTTTAGGTGTAGCAATATCATGGCCCTGGGATTGTGCAAGCTGGCTATCTTACTGGCACACCAAAATGGAACGGGGCTAAGATTACCGTTATTGGTTCCCATGAACTTTCTTTGCTTTGACATTTTAAAAACGTCTGCTGTGAAAAAAGGTCTGCAGCCCTGTCCGAGGTAGGACTATACAAAATTATAATGTATAAACTATGACCTCAAGACTTCTTACCTGTGTATCCTGCCAGTGCTGCTGCTGGGATTACGGGTTTATCCTTGCTGAGGTCCGAGCGCTCCCTCACATAGTCTTTAAAAGTGCCCTTGGGCTTGTGGCCATGCAAGGCAGTGGGGTAGTCCTCTGAGTCGAAGCTGTCGTATGAAGGTACCCGTTGCAGGCTGCTAAATGAAGACTGGCTGCTCCACGACTGGGTCAATCGGTCACAGCTCTCAAAGCTCTCGATGCTCTCAAAGGAGTCTTGCCCACCAAGCTTACCTGTGAGGGAAGGATAGCGGGAAATGGCAAGAGAGAGAGAGAGAGAGAGAGAAAGAGAAATAAAGTTATTAAGAGCAAACCGTAAATTTTAGCATTTCACATTTTGAAAACTCTCACTTAAATAAAGCATGGATTTGCAGTATGTATGACTTTCTTACTATCCTTTTCCTCTTAAAAAAAAAAAGAAAAAAAAAGTGATCAATCAATGCATAAGAATGCTAACTGTTATTGTGAGTTTTCTGTAGCATTTGACGAAGGAGCAATATTTACGAAAGCAATATAAACAACACCTTAGCAGTAAATGTTCATTCTCACTTAGCTAAATTGTTCTGCACGGTGCCACATCTCTCCCCATTTCACACCTCATTTCCCTTTTACAACCACCATTTGGATTTGATTTTAAATGGAAGACAATCACACAAATTGCCATGCTATTTTTGACCTTGGGAAAGATAAGAGCAGTCTTTCAATGGTGAGTCATTATCAAATGACAGATAATGCAGCGCCTCGATTGATGCTGAAATCTTCCAACAGCAGAAATTGAAGCCACATGTGGATACCAGTTGTGCTACAAAATACTTTCCCACGTTGGGAGAGCACAACGCAACGCTCAGAAGCTTGGTATGTGTCATGCATGGGGATTGGACCTCATACCTTGCAGGCAAATGCTTAAAGCGCTGGGAGGAGGCTTGTGTAGCGTACATGCTATTCATTTATACAGCTGGGGATTTGTGAGAAGTAAATCCTGGCTTTATGGCTATAAATGTAAACCATGCTGCTAATTCCTCTGCAAACTATCACTGGGAGAGAAAACAAGCCTGCGCATTCAGGAAAGCAAACAGTTTCGTGAGAAAACCCCACGCTTGCTAACTGAGGATGACACCTATATCTCCTTACCCAGAAAGTTGAGTCGAGGAAAGGAGAGAAAAAAAAAATTCTTGAAGGTTACACCACTTCAACTGCTTTACATAAAGGACAGGCGGCAAGAGAACATGTTGTGGCTTTGGTTCGTGTATCACTCTGACAAAAACAATAATCTTTTTTTCCCCAACCCAGTCTAGAGTGTACGAGATGGGTTTGTTTGAACCACAAACCAACCAGAGGGCCTGCTTTTCTTCTCTTCTAATACATGAACACTGGTGTGGCATGACGAGATTCTGGTAGCTTCAGCACAATCACACGCACACAGACACCCACACAAACACTTAACATTCACATGCACTCACACATGCACGCACATGAGGACACATTTATGAAACAATCCAACAAACTGTTGATTACAACAGAAACGCAGCACATTCTTCACTGCAGTGCTTCTCCAGACTAATCCTATGCTGTGCTTAAATCTCTGCTATATTCCTCACGTCTACTGTCCCTCACCTCTGCTGAGGCGTCCCACACACATGTTGTCAGGGGATACCACCTCCTGCTTGACAGTGAAGTAGTCCCCCTGCAGCGGGTTGAGGGGCGTGTCCCGTAGAATGACAGCAGGGTATTCGCTCTCATACTTGAGCGTCAGCAATTCCTCTGAGCTGATGGGATGAAGTGTCTGGTAAGACTCTGTGATGAAGCCGGGCTCTGAGTATTCAGAAGGAGGGACACACTGAGCATGCTCAACACCGTAGCCTGGAGACACAAAGGGAAACGAAAAAGCAGAGGAGGATAGTCAGGAGCAAAGCAAGAAGATGAAGATCAATCTTAAGAGAGTGGAGTCATTATCCCTCTTGTGTTAAACTGCTGCCCAAATGCTTAGTGTGAGAATAGTCCATAACAAAGCACAGCTCTGAGTGCATAGGATAAATCTTGTACATTTGAGGCAGGTTTATTGATTATATGTGCCTAACTTTAGCTAAACAGTGATTGATTGTCATTATTTCCTATGAAATGTGGTCAATATATACCTATAGCTACATGCTTTTTACTGGGATATACAGCATATCCAAACACTACAATATTGTACAATGATAAAATATACCTTTATCTAACACTAAAGTATTTTATTCATAACACTAAACCACTCCTCTTCTACCATTTCCATTCATATTTTAGGCACATGTCTTATGGTATTACACATCACACTGATTGACTATTAGTATGAATACTTACTGACAAAGTAGTCTGAGGTATAACGTGATTCCTGGAAGTTGGAGGTCAGTCCATTGATGGGGTAATGCTTTGTATCCTCTTCATGAAAAATAGATAGAGAAGGAGCGTCAGTGACCTCGTCATTGATTTCATGTATCGTGTAACTGCATCCAGCATTATCAAAAATTAATGACCTGAGCTAAATTGTGTCTTCCTGTTTGGCTCCTGTTACTATAGCAAATGCAACACAGTGTCCTAAATTGGTGCAAGCACCCATATCACCTTGTGTGGTATGGGTTTTTCTCACATACTGTATGTGAGATAAAAAAAGTCTCTAAGCCTCCAGTCTCTGTCTTATAATGCATCTTACAATGCACACCAATGCCAATCAGAAAATCAGTATATTAACTTGTCTTCTTGGCCTTACCTTTCTGAAGCATTTCTAAATGTTCCCAAAGGATGTCACCCACAAAGTCAGGTGCTAAGTCCAGGAAGCGATCCTTCCCCATTGCACACAGGGTGGCTCCATTCATGCAGAATTTGTCAAAGTCAACATTCTTCAGACTGAACTCGTTCACTGTCCACGTTAGCCACTCAGCAACATGGTTTTCTGTCCACTGCCTGGGATCTGAAGAGCATCACGATTGTTATATTCACTGATTATATACAGTATTTATAGTTTGTCAAAGTAATTGACAAACTATTACTACTATAGTAGACATGCATTCAGACTGTATACACACAAACTGATTCAAACATTCATCTCAACCTGACATTCCAACGCAGATTGTAGTTATAGCACTTAACTGCAACACATTCTGTATTGTTTTCAGTGAGCTCTTTGGTTATGCTGCCAACTACACCAACACACCACCTCTGTGGTAAATATATCTACCCATAACAAGTCAATCAACAACAAACAGGGAGGCAGCGGTGGATGTAAACAGCAGCAGTAATGACAAGCCAAAACCATCGTTTGCACTTTGCAGATATAGTATGATTACATAGACACTATACTGAAAGTCATGCTGTTTCCAAACAGCATGAAGAGGCTCTGTGGTCAGCCTCCATTTAGGAAACTAACTCATTATTTTACTGTCTGTCTCTGTGTCTACATTCTCTGGAGGCTGCAGTCAGTCAGTCTGCTCAGACTGAAATGTATGTAATGTAAGGCTGGAATAACTGGGTGTCTCCTGGTTTTCAGCGAATACTTCTAAGAGATGCCTTCACTGAATGATCTAAAGCAGGCTATGATGTGAAGTGATCTAACGAATGCAGACGGCTGACGTGTGACACGTTGAGGTGGTTTTGAGGGCTCATGCTTTAGTGATAAGATTTCATTTCCCCAATGAAAATGTTAACAGGGACTAATAATACAAGCAGCTGACAGTCTTACCTTTGGGAATACCGAGCCGCTGCTGTTCCTTTGTGAAGCCACTGAAGGTGGCCTTCAGAGCCTGGGACATCATCTCTTTACTTCCTGGAGTTAGCAGGGGGACATCTCCACACTCCGGATCTGCAAAACACAAATTACAAAGAAACATTAATTGTAATATTATTATGAGTAATATCAATATCTATTTCATTGCAATTACCTATATGCTAATATTATATACTGCTTTAATTATTATCGACAAACCCAGCTATGACGATGCATCCTGTATTGTATTTCATGCTGATAAAGCTTACTGAATGGAAAATTGAATTGAGACAGAGAAGAGGGTGGGAAAGAGACTTGTGAATGTGGTTCAGCTAGATCATCCGCACAGCCACACAAACATGTACCCTCACACACAAACAAAATCAACACAGTTGTATCTGACCGTGATCAACAACATGGCTCAACAATTACATCCCGTCTAGACAGACTCAGAGCCAATCTATTTAAACAAGAGCTGTCACACCGTCGGATCTGAACTGCTTAAAAAGGTAAGAGGTAAGACTGCATGTCGACTATTTTTTGCTCAATAACACGTGTTGCAGTAGGCTGAAAAGCAGATAGTGGAAATAATTGCATTTTATAAACGGAATTTAGTGCATGGTGAACTCAGGAAATGTCCTAAAGCCATTTTTTTAATACAGTTTCTGGCATTACAAGCTAGGTCTTAAGGCAAATTCCACTCATCTGGCACTCTGCATCAAAATAAACACACAAGTTTATTTGCAAATACTACAAACACTAACCTCTCTCCTACCCACATATTCCGGGTGGGAGAGCAGCGCCTGGTGCCCATCAGTGACACCATGACCCCTGCAAGCCCTCCTACCATGTTGCCCCCACAGTGGACCTACTGTCACTGGACCAAGTGTGGGGTCAAACTTTCTGAGAGGTCATGGGTCGAGGGGTGAGGTGATGATGTCACCGTGGCTACTGACGGGTGGCTAGGAGAGTTGGGGGTGGGCTGTCCCGAGGGTTTCAGTCACACACTAGGCTTACTGTTCTCTGCTCACAGCCAGTGGGCACCCAGCATGGAACAGAGCTCCCTTTGATGGCTTTAAACAGTGCCTGATGACTCGCACTCATCTAATTAGATTGACCAGGCTGCAGAAGTATCGGATAAGGGGGCAAAGCAGGAGAGATGATGAGGGGAGACGGGGAAAGACCCCCAGGCCGCTAAAACTAGAATAGACTGCTAAAGACTTAACTGACCAAGATTCAACAAATGAGTTGTAAATAGACACAAAAAGGCCCTGTAGAGTTCCAATTAACTCACATGCCTTTTTTATTCAGTCTGCAAAGCACCCACACTCATTTGCACAATAAAGACAGACATAGATCATGATCTGCTGGAGTCCGCAGTATGACATAATAGTATTATCTTGTCTAATCAACCTGAGGGTATATAGTGCGTCAGGAAAAACGTCAACAGACCACAACAGGGCATCTTGAGGATTTAACAGGTTATGGTGCACAAAAAAAAAAAGCAGAGGCTTCCGTCAGGCTTTGATTTTTGCCTCTCTCTTCAGTTCACCCAAATGGTCTGTCTCAATTGCACATCATTTAAAATTGTAAAAAAAAAGACAAAGAGCTTGAAGGCAAACTAGTGATGAGGAAAACTTGTGTCACTCCTCTCACAGTACCACCATTCGTCAAACCCAGATGTTCTGGCATCTCCTCTGGCTGGTGGTTTTATCTGCCAGCAGTACACTGGGGCAACATACAGTTCACGCTTGTTTTCACCACTCGCTGACGTCTCGACCTCGTCTGGAATGCACAGCAGCTGTCCCTCCTTCGCCCATGCAACCAATGTCTGTCTGGCTGTTTGTAAAATTAGGTCTCCCAGTTTCTTTTTTCTGTCTCTTTCTTCCCCTCTATTTTCTCTCCCTAGAGAAAGAAACCTAGCAATAGACCCAAGACGGAGGACAGACAAGAGATTGTTGCCTCTTCATGTGATTCAATTAGGCCTATAATAATATATTGCTGTCTGCTACACTGGTGAACAAACACAAAGTCATTCATTCAAGTCAGAAGTAAAAGCAAGGTAGAGGAGTTGAAAATAAAACACTGTTTTACAGTCCCACATAAGACCTCAGTTAAAGTAGTGTCAGACACAGCTCACACACCAAAATAAACTGCAGTTTCACAATGAGAGAAAGACCTGAGTGTCTTTGTGTACAAGTTAACCCTGACAGCCAGGCTGTAGACTAGGCCTCTGCTGAGCTCATTTTTCTTTCAAGCGGTGATGGAAGTGTAAAAACATACATGTTGCTAAAGCCTGCAAACTGAGACGGGACTGAGGCTCAGACCGTCTACGCTTTGATGACAAGGCAAGGGGCGAAATGTGCTAGTTTATTTAAGCTGGATCGAGTGGAGTTTGTCTGCACTTTCGAACCATTTACGCCCCTCCCTCTCCATGGCTTTTATCAACCCAGCCCCAGCCTGTATTTGCCCACACAGACTTGAACCCACTTGAGCACTAAATCCTCCATCAAAGACACTCAACAACATAGTGCATGAGAACTACCATTAGGCGCTCTAAAGAGAGAAATATGTCAACCATGATTATAGAGCAAATTAAAATGTGAACTGCAAAACTGTGTGATTTCTTTTGTTTTTATTTTGAATGACTTGTTTCCCCTGTCTAAATGAGCTTGAAGTGGGATTTCTGTTTACTGTCTTGCTGCAATTCAAAGAACAACAAATGTCTTCTAAGTTTGGACTGTAACAGTTTAGATGTCATTGTAGGCATACAACAAAATTATAACACTCAGAGACCAGCAGCAATAAAAAACAAGACAAAAACCAAGATGAAAGATAAAACAGGATGAACACTATGGTGAACGGTTTCTACAAAGACAAACTGCACTTTGAACAAAACATTTGACTTTTTTCATTGCATTGCTTTTGTGAATTGAATTGCGATCTTAAAAAACGTAAAGCAGAGGACACAGCGAGGCAAACAAGAGACCTAAAAGTGCAATGATAATAGAGCAGTCTCCATGGTGAATGATCCATATGAAAGTTATCTGCGGCAGCACTAATGTACAGCGTGCATCCATTAGCAAGAGAGGCGAGCTTGGATCTAGACAATCTTTAGTAAATGATGGAGTCCTGATAGGATTTCAATGCTTGCGAGTCCCATTAGATACAGAATGGTCAGTAGGTACTGAGAGTTAGAGCATCCACAAGTCATCACTTTCCACATTAGACGGCGTGGGCCTGTCCGCAAAATGAGTCCCAGCCACTTAGCTCACAAAATGTGGGAGTGGGTGTAAATCACTAGCAACCTTATGGCATTCACGTTTCACTAAGAAGAACTATAAGAGTAAGAGTAAAAAAAAAAAGAGCGTCTGGAGTGAAAAGTATAAAATGAAACCAATTGCTCCTAATCATGTAGAAATAAATAAGTCAATCTATTCTAAGAATCACTGATGAATTGAGGCTGATGTTTAGTCTGGATGTACAGTAAAAGGTATTGATTAGCCACCCCCATCTTGCCATGGTATGAGTAATGGACAGGCTGCTGAGCGTGACGGTGATATTTTCCCCCAGGGATTCTCACTGACAGACTGTGCACCTTCACGGCCCTGCCCTTGTGACCGAGCCCCATCCCAACCTTAGACGGAGGGTCTGTTTGGCTCCTTAGGCAGTTAAACTGACACCCATATAAACACACATACACACACATGAACTAAATTAGCAGTCTTCTTCGCCTGTGCGCCAGAGCGTGGGCGTGAAATTGGGATTTTTCCAAAGTGTACGGGACTGGAACTGGCAGGGGCTGGGCAGGGCAGGACAGGGCTGGGGGAAAATAGCAGGGGAGTATCTCCGGATGGGTGAGGGGTGACTGAGTGTGGGCAGGGGGGGGGGGCGGCGGTCACCAGCCTGAATTATGAAGTCCTCCACAGACAAGAGAAACGGGGGTGGGCCACAGTGGGGAAAGAGAGAGAGAGACAGATGAATGAATGGGAGGTCTCATAAAGCTCCCTCTCTTCTCCTTGTCTCTGGAGTGACATCACAGTGGGATCTGTGCCATATCCCAGCCTCTGGCGGAGACTCAGTTCATTCATAAAGCCTGGACTGCTGCCTCCACTCAGAATGATGCAATGATACAAGCAAAGCAGGCAACCAGACCCAACAAATAAGGGACAATATGCTTTCTATCATGCGATTGAGCTATAAATAGCCCTATAGAGTTTATCCAATGAGTGGGTGTGTATTGGTGAAAGGAAAAGAGGATCGGCTGTGAAAAAAAAAAGGCTATTCAAAGCTGGGTTTTTTAAAACTCTAAATATGTTAGGGTCAAATAGTCATTTATTCATGAACATGTCAAAGCATGTGGTAAGTCATGTCTCAAAATATATGCCCTTCTGTACCTACTGAGTGTCTGGTGGGCTTTTTTTAAGTCTGAAAAAGAGTCAATTTCCTGTGGCTAAGTTGCCACTTCCTGTGGGAAGTGAGGTGAGTTGTGGGTTCAGGTATGGGTCAGAACCACCACCGTACCCTTCCTGAATATCCTTACATGCATACAGGTACATATCAGCGGGGTCATGACATGGTGTGCGGGAAAAGAGAGGCGGTCTTGGCTACTTTCCAAGAGCTTATAATCGGCTCTTTAAGGCAGACCAGTCTGCCCACATTAGACCAGAGGTGACAGTGGTATCTGAGAGGGCCCTTTGATGGAGATCCATATCTGGACCCCTGGTCTGAGAACGCAGGGTCATAAACCCGACCAACATGAAGGGGGCCCATTCAGCAGCACAGGGTGATAAAGTGGCGGCTGAGGGCTGCACTGGAGAAAGAGGAGGAGGACGGGGTGGCAGTCTGGTTTTGAGAGGGCCGCTTGTTCAGCCAGCCGCTCCGCTATTTAGATTTCCATCTCAATGCCAAGGACCAGGAATAGATGTGTAGGCCAGGCTCAAGCCAAGAAGCCAGACCAGACCTAGACCCAAGCGTGCTCAGCTCAGGACAGTGTTAACCTAAAGAGACCCAGGACCATCCCACCATCATGGACAACAATGCTGAAACACTAGTTTTATTCTTAGGTCTCCACCACTGGCTTCTGGCTGCCCTCTTAAAGCAGAAGCCTGTGGTGGTGTAAAGCAGCTGTACGGGCAGAGGCCACTACTGCTGACATCTGTCTATAGCCATGAAACTAGAGTTGTCCAGGATCATCATCACCACAGACATACCGGCTACTGAAGCAGACTGTAAGTGAGACTAATACCCCATAGCTGCCTTGCTGTCTTTCTTCCACTCCCCCCCATCTCTGAAATCATATTAGTTTATGATCTGAAAGTGCATTAACTCTACTGTTTATGCCAAAGTCTCAGCGCTTGATATGACATTATCTCTGAGCTTGAAATGATACGCGCCATCGCCAACAGACGCTAAACATATTTTTGCTAAAAGCTTGATGGAAATTCTTTCGTTTCCAGGAGAACGAGGGAAACAGAGACAGGGCGCTTTCAGCAGGGTTTGGCACTGTATTGCTTGTTTAACTGCCTACAAGCTTTGTTGCTCTGTGATCTTTAACAGTGTGAAAAGGTCTGGTTTTTAGGTATGCCTCAAGTATTAGAGGTTGAGCAACAGTAATTTACTTCTCACAACAGCCCATTGCACAACCTCCAAGTTCTCTATTACTGGGAGGACAAATAATATTGGGAAAAAGCTAAAACCCAATATGCACTGAGCACTACACAAACAAAGATCTGACAGGTCTCACACAACTTGAAGGTTTTGCTGCGATCTCCATATATGTTAAATATTTATAATCAACAGATTTGACTGTCTTGTTTTATCCATCAGTGCGAGGCATAGCGGTGAGAAAAGGGAACTGACAGGCGAGCATTATACTGGAGAGTGCAGGTGGTGCTAGCCTTGCTGTATCCAAGACTAGCCGCCCTCCCAGGCTCCATCCTCTGTTGTAAACACACAGGGGATGCTCTGGGGGGACTGTTTAGGCGTTAAACCAAACACACGACATATCAGACAAACAATTTACTCTCTGTGTTGCATTTTTTTTCCACAGAACATTTTTAGTACAAACTGATACATTCCACAACCAGGTTCCTGATGCATGTATGATTTATGTGGGACAATACACAGACACACATCAATGGAATTGTTTGCGACTCAGACGTTCTTTTGTGCAATGCATATGCACGTTAAGTGTTGTAGTGGCTGGGTTTAATTATACATCACACATATATAAGAGCTTGTTGCTTGTTTGAAGGCAAGCTATGGGCGACAGATGGATACTTGATAAATAAATTCCCTGCAGACCGCAGTGTTTTCATGTTGCATGCCTTGCATTCCACCTCTGTTTTACAATCACTAATGTGCTTCTCACAGCTTTCTTGTTTTCCTCTAATGTGACCAAAAATGACTTGTGGTCTAAGTGGCAAAATGGTTTCAGCTCAAGATGATGAATTACCCTTCTATTTTAAGCTCAGCGTAGGCTCCATGGCTAATAGGAGCATAAAAGATCAAACAGCTGGCCACATCTCTCTTTCTTTATCTTATTTAAGATATGGGTGTTATTTTTCATGACGATGTGAAACACCTCAGCTTTGGCTGAATTGGCTGATTTAAAGATATACATTTGATAACTGGAAAGTTACAACTCAAGAGTTTTGCAATAAGAGATGGAAGTTTTCCAAAACATGCGCATATGATTGCAGATGTGTAAACTCGACTTCTCGATCTCTCTCTCCATATCTCTTTCTTGCGCTTAGGCACACACACACACACACAAAGCATGCACAGACAGACTGACTCATTCCTTAAAAGAATGACTTGACTTCAGGGCATATCGTGCTGCTTCATTTGACAGTGTGACTGGTCATGATGAAAGCAGTGACCATATCTTGTAAAGTTCCTGCTCAATGACTCAACCTTTATCACTGTTAGTTGTAGCTAACTGCATAAAACAAACACATTTTAGGCAGAAAACAGAGCATCTCTCATGCGCATTTATGTGTAGCCAGAAGATTATTTTTCACCAACACAACAGGATTTTTGAAACCAAATGTTGTCAAGGTCAAGTTCTCGTTATGTTCTACATATGTGGACAGCAGATGTGGTCAATAAAGGCAACTCATTTCAATATGTAAAATACAGATACCAGGGAGGTCAGGCTAGGCAGACAAAGGAATCCAGCTGCTTTTACTCTTGTAGCTAAACACCAGAGGCAGCTTAAAAACTTGGAGTCTCATTCCTTGACCTCCTCCGTGGCTGCCAGAACACATGCGACTCCCATTTGAATGTGTCACTGAGGCTAAACTCATCATGAGCACCACAGAGTCGCACCTACACAGCAGACACAGCCACCCACGCAAACACTCCCTTCTTTATCATTCTTTGCTTTGGCAAGCCAATCAGTATCACTATGATGCTGTGGGTCTTATACACAGAGTCTGCGGCCGTGCCCCATTTGTTCACCTGATTACAAAAGCAGCATGCAATGCATGCTGACTCCAAAAACAGGTGGTGTGCAGAAAACACACACAAAAGAGAAAACAAGGGAAGAAAATCTGGAACATACACTGAACAAAATGAGTGACATGGCCTCGTTGAGGACAGCTGAACATCCGTGGTGAAACGCATCTCCTGCCTTTCAGGACAGAGGACTGATTCTCAAAGCAGGCGTGTTTCTAAACTAGCCCAGTTTCCATTCCATTATGGGAAACACAACTCCTAAATGTGGAACCATAAAACAGAAACAGCTACATAGCAAGATGACAAAAAAAGTTGTAAAGCACTCAAGACGATGTTGAGATGAGTGGGTGGTTGTGGAGCCATTTTGGGGCACCGTCAGGCCAGTTAGGGTTCACAGTCAGACTGGTAATGTAGGGAAGGGAGAGGCGTGTAGTAGCGAAAAACCAGTAAGCAAGCCAAGCAGACACACAGTTGGACAGCCAGTGGTGTGTGGTGCAGCAGGCGTCTAGTGCCATGACTCAGGGATTACAAGCAAGGAATGAGTGGGGATGGGACAAAGTGCACTCACCAGGAACTCACTATACACCACATCAAGGAGTCCTCATGTGGCCAACAGAAAGACATTGGAAACAGAGGAAGAAAGGGAAAGGAGGGGGAGGAATACTAGAGGAGGAATTGTGTGAGTGGGTGGGTGAATGATTGAAGAGTTGTGTGTAACAAAAAAAGCTTGTCCATGCTTTATTTCCCCAGCCAAGGAACTTGTTTTCCTTTGTTTTGGTTGTGCTGCTTTTTGTGGAATGTGAGTAAAACAAGAAGCCTGATTGCACAATAATTATTTTGATCTTTTGGGATAGCTAAGACTTGCACCACCATCATATTGACCACACCTTGGAAGGTCTTTCTCTCTTCCTCAACCTCCCCCCACCACCACCATATGCTTACTATTTAGTAGACTGCTGTATCTGGTGCTAACACGCCTTACTTTATGACTAAGCTTCATAAGCAAAGATTAAGGCGTGTAGTCACCAGGGAAGCACCATGATAGGACCCACGCAGTATAATGGTTTAATGTTTATACGTGCAACACAGCAGATGACGGGCTGAATGAAGGAGCAATGAATGAAACGCAGACTGAACGGGGGGATAACCCATTTGATGCAACACAGTGGCATCACTCATCAGCTCGGCAAAGAAGGAAAGACAAGGTCATTGTGGAAACTCACAGACAGCTACTTTACTAGTATCCATCCAATCTGTTGACAAGTCTTACCAGCACAGGGAGGCCCATTGAGTAAGCTGGTATCTGTTGTCCTCTAAGCGCAGACATGGCCTGGTCAAACACTACCTAATGACATATGGGTGACGCCTTGAACACTGGACTGACTAATCAAGTTTGGATCGGGCAAACCATATCGTCCTCAGTTTGACACTGCGCACATCAGATGAAAAACTAACTGGTTTGCTCTGTTTGGCCCGATTCATTGACAGTCCACATCAAGAGAAACCTGGATCACCCAAACAGTGTTTGCACAGCTGCCAGGCAGCCACGCACCCTCAAACATTGGCATATATTACAGCGCGCTACTGAAGGAGTGCTGACACAAACACACGAAGCGAAAACCTGAACCTTATGTAACACCTTCTGTTCTAACACAAGCTACCCCTATCCACACCATACCAACATGGGAGGCACGTTGGAAAAGAAAGTGAGCGAGGCCTCTGTAAGAGTCAGTTGTGTGGCACAGCCTGTGTGTGCATACTGTATGTGGCGGGCGTGGAATGGGATGCCTTATAAGGTGCTGTCAGCAGAAGCATCAGGCACGCCAGTTATAACAAACAGCAGGGTTTCGATCAGATAAAAGCGAGCCTCCCACTCATGCTCCTTCTATGCCTCCATGCATGCCACCCAGCAGGGCATGCTCACAAGCATTCCTGTCAACCACTGAACCCTGACCTTCAGGCCTGATGAACAGGGAGGGAAAGTAAAAGAGAGAGCGACTCACTCAGGTCTAAAACAGACAACACTGTGTGTTGTAAATGATTGACATCCCTCTTCAGTTTTAAATCTATACTTGGATAACCACAGAATGCTACCTGAGTATACTTTAACACTCAATAAGAACTTTGGCAATACAAAAGTAAAAGAAACATGAGTGTAATTTCACAATCCAACACCTTCCCTGTTAATAAAACGTGTCTCTGTAGAGTTGACAGTTTTGTTATGGTTACATGATGCTTTCAGTAATACGCTACCATTATTTGGGTTGCAGTGAAGTGAGTTTGCTGTGTCAGGAATTGACTACTATAACTGAACGGAGGAGTAAAAGCTTTGTGGAACATTAGATGTCTTGTTTGGGTGCACCTCTGACCCTGGCACTGTGTGAACACTTTAAAAGGAATTACCTCGGCTGGAGGGAGAGAGGATATGCCTTGGGTAAGCTGACACTGGCCGCACTTCTGTCGCAAAGAAAAACAAACAATATAGTAAGGTGGGCTGGAAGCTACTCAAGCCTGTTTGTGGGGCATGTATGTATGCATGTATGTATGTATGTGGTTGCATGTGTTGGGAGAAAGAAAAACAGACTTCATCTGTAGTTCCCACAATGGCATAGCTCTTGCTTGTGAAAAGCCCAGAAGCCTTGTCCACTGGGACAGCTGCTACACTCACAATCCAACAAGTCAACAAATGCATTCTGGCTATGGTAAAGAGCCTGTCATGGTCCTTTACACGCCTGTGACAGAGAACATCACTGTTGTGTCTTCTCAAGATCAGCAACAGCCTTGGACATTGGTAGTGTACTTACATTGTAAGCATGGTAATACCAAGGAGTGAACAGAACAGTGTGTGTCTGAGCGAATTGTGGAGAAAAGATGTGTTTTGTGTGAAGTTGTGAACTGCTCCTTGGCAGCCTCAGCTTGACCCGGGCGCAACCAAGTGAGCGCAAGCAGGAGCGAGCATTGCGAAATGGTTTTGCAAGATAGCGCTACGCTTTGGCAACTTAACTGCAGCTGTCAGCACTTTTTATGTGTGTTTGTGAGATATGTAAGTGTGAATCTATGCTCTGCAGGTATTGACAGTGAGGAGAAGGTGGTTACTGTGGTGAGTCACAGCCCCTCAGTGGGTCAACACACTAGCAATTAGTATCAAATTTCCATGATGCATCAATGCAACTTGCTGCTCTACTAAGAGGTTCAATGCCACCTGAGCTGCAGAAACACAGGGGATTAGTTCATGTAAAAAGCTGCTTAATGCAAATCATCCAAACATGCCACCATGTGTAAAAAATGAGAAGTGAAACCACACAGAGGTTTAAAGCCAAACGCAAACACAGCTCACAGCTTCTCTGTATGTGCCCTGGATTACCCCTGGAGCAAGCCAAGTCTTCCAGGCAGTGGGGTCAGAGAGGCAAGCCTCAGCACTGCAGATTCATCACCTCAGCCTGCCTCTCCTTCCCTCTGGAAAGTCAGTTTCAACCACCCGGAGGAGGGGGAGGCCGAGTAGAAGGGAGGGAGGTAGAGGAGACAGCGGGGTTGGTGGGGAGGGGAGTGATTAGGCACTACTGCCTGTCTCCCATGCTGGCTGGGCAGAATGCCCTGGCTCTCCCAGTGTGGCACTGGCTACAGGGTCAGAGATGGGTACTTAGATGAGAGAGAGAGAGGAGATGGAGACAGATCCCCAGTGAGATCAAAGCGGAATGAAAGAGAGGGATACCACTTGTACACCAAAACTACAAAGCATGTATCAACAGTCAATTCGAGGAACACACAACTAAAACAAAAGCATACATGTAAAAGTTTAACCCGAGAAAGCAATCAGTTTAAAACACACAGTGTGTCACAGAGTACGTCAGCTACATGGAATGATAAAACACTGGGAATGTCACAACAATTGCTCCTATGATGATATTTGTTACGTGCTGTGTTGTGTAACAATTAATGTAGCCTACATTAAGTCCACTTTTGGGATCGACTTCAACAAACGTGAGAATAACTTTATCACACAGGCCCATGTTTTTTACAAACAACATCATAATGTAAATTCCAAAAAGTCACAGCAGTCAGAGCCTGATTCATTCCATCAAATTAAGTAACACACACTGGTTATCTTATAGGCTGTGGCATGACTGCACAGCCCCTGGCGTGAGTGCATTTTTAAGTGTTGCGTGTTGTCCAATCTTGAGCAACACACCAACCAATCGTCTTCACACTGAAAATACGTTCAGGACGTTATGTCCCTCTCAGCGCATGTAATTACCGAGAATCATCAGTGAGGTGGACGTCAACGCAATCCGCCACCAGCTGGTTACGTTACAAGGAAACATTTAGGAGTAACGTTAGTCCCGTGTTAGCTGTCACAGAAGAGTTGTATTACTCACCGTCAATCTTTTCAGCCTTTATGATTGTTAACGTCGGTTTCATATCGACAGCTGCCGTCATGATCTCAGATCAGATGGCCTCAGTAACGCCAGCGTCCCTTCTTTATCTCTAACAGCTCCAAAAATAAAAAAAACACACTAGATATATATAGAGGGGGGGGGGGTCTTCTTTCCTCTTGGCAGCCCCCGGTCAATTTACTGGCCGATTTGGATTTACCTGGTCCTCCACACCCACACAAATTCAGTTTCTTCCTCATCCTCTACTTATCTTTTCTCGTTTTCCCTCTCTCCCTTTCGGCTACATGTACACAACACTCCTCTTTCTCGTTCTATTCTTACTACTCATCAACCACACTCACTTCTTCTTCTCTATTCAATCTGGGCTATGGGCTTGCATCGCGCCGAGCAGGAGTGCGACGACAGCTGGAAGGGCGGTTGTTTAGGGCTGGACTTTGCCAGGTTGTTCACATTCAATTACAATGCCCCCCTCCTCCCTACAAACACTCACACACACACACTACTACCACCTCCCCCGTGTCTCTGTGAGAACCAAGACCCCCTTCGCGTCATCGTACGCTGTTAGGAGTCTACATGTTCCCGCACATTACTGGCGTTTTTACAGCGATGAGAAACACTCTGGAGATGTGACAGAGAGCCTGAGAAAGAACTGTAAATGCTTAACCCCATTACTACCTCAGTATGACAGCAAACAGTTCGTTCAACAATTCCCATCATACTGTCTTCATGCCAAAAAAAAAAAAAAAACATGTCCTGGAATGTTACAGCCATCTTAAATGGGAGACAAACAGCATGGAGTACTTTATACAGTACAGTATATTTCACACACTGGCAGCCCATATGGGGATATTTTCAGAACAGCATTGTGGTACATGAGCAATCTGTCTTTGGAGATGTTTTAGATCTTAAAATAGTTTCAGTGTAGTTTATGTGTGACTTCGACAACAGTCTGTTGAGGAGAGTCAGTGACCGTCTGTGTCCTATATTCTGCAGGTCTAGGCTTCCTCATAACTTGTAACTCACCCTCATAAACACCTCAGAGTATTTCCTGTTCACCTTGTGCTGATCAATAAAAACCAACCGTGTCTTTTTTTCTTTTCTTTTTTTTACACAGCTGCAATGGGTATTAGTGAGGAGGTACATCTTTGCAGATAGGTATGGTATTGTATATACAAATGAAAATGAAGTACATAAACAGTGCACATTAAAATCAATCAAACTGAGTCTCCTTTCACTGGGACCGTCAATGGAAATTCAGTTTGAACAGGACAAACCGCCTGTTCTAATTCTCAGTTTGCATTGCTTTTTTTGTCCTTTGTGTTTTCTTATCTACAGTAATCAGAAACAATGACCATGCCTTACTGGAAATTGAATCAAGATTTTGTTCTGCCACTGGAAAAGAACAAAGAGCAGAGAATGACAGGGCTTTTTAGCTACAGTAAGGCTCCACTCTGAGCAAACCACTGCCATTAGGGAACACCTCCCATGGCAACAGAAACAGTAATAACTGATTATAATAGTGATTCTCACACAAGTTCCACTGGAACCTACTGCTTTTAACAAAAGTGCGAAAATTGAGCTCAAGCAAGAAACACTGAAGAGACAGTATGGATTCAGGTATTTTCCGTTCTAAAAAGAAACAGTATAAGAAGTCTCATCATAAGCAACCTTGTTAGAGTGAGTCATATGGCGCAACTATGATGGACTTCAATATGATACTTCTGCATGTGCTATATCTATGCGTGTATGGAGGCTGGGGAGCCAGGGATATTGATCACACATGGATTTTTAAACCGGTGGTACTTCACCGGCTCCATTAGCAGCCCAGGATCAGGTTTCATTGGCCTGATAGGAGCCTCGTCTGGGAAGAGTGCTGGTGGGTTCTGCGGTGAGAGGAACTGCCTCACCAGGGGCAAAGTGGAAGGGGGGGTGATGGAGGAGAAGAATGGAAGGGGGGAACAGTACCTCTCACTTCATCTCAGTCAGTCTCTCACTCTCTCTGACTGGACCTCTTTGTTTTCTGTTAATGAACTCCCTCGTATCTGTTCTTAAAAGGACAGCCCGGGTCCTTTCATGCCTAAGGGCAGCCATTAGGGTTTAATGGTGTTGCTGACTAATATCTAGGCTGGCGTCACTGTAGCCAGTTTCAATTTGGGGTTTCTTCTGCCTGTCTTTATGTCAGATTTTTTTTAGTTTGTTGTTGCTGCTTTAATTGTATTCTTACCAATAATTTTCAGAATGCATACTAAAGCTGATATAATATAAACAGAACTATTAAAGTAAAATTGTACAAAACATACAATAAACAAGCAGTTAACTGACAAAGTGAAGCCAAAAAGCATTGTTGTTTTAAATTCCCATTGCCAGGAAACATCTAAATATATTTCTGTTGTTGTATCTCAAAACAGTATGTTACTGATCTGTTTCTCAGAGCAATGACCATTTCTATTGCTTAGACAGCCTGGTGTACAATGACCCTGAAGACAAACACATTTTTATGAACAGCACACTGACATGAGGAAAATTATTCCCATAAAAAATGCAACGGTTAAATACTAAACATTTGGTTTATCTTCACAGTGATCTCTATATCAACTCTAGGAACTGCTTGTGTCAAAGTTTTGCACAATACCAACTAAAAAAAACAGCTATTGTTGAAAGAAACTGTGTAATTTCCTATTTAGACAGAGGGATTGTTAATTGTCTTACACTCATGAAACAACCAGCCAGTATCAGTACGCTTGAGGACACATGTCCCAGATCAAACAAGTTTTGGTTTCAGTGTCTCTGCTCTTCACCTGGCAAATGCTGTTGCCATGGTTTTGACAGTTAGCCGGCTTCACTCATTTGCGTTGCAGTATAGAACCCCTAGCTGAAGCAGCTCTCTCTCTCCTGCTCGCTGTCTGTCTCTTACTGGCACATCTGTGTTGTCTGTCAGTGTATAATCCTTAGATGTAACCGTTGCACCTGCTACTTTTCACAGAGTTAACTGAAAGGTTATTCGATTTGGAGCAATCCATACAGCTGTCAAGTGATATTTGTCTTTGATGTCGGTGATCTTGCAGCAAGTGACAAGAGTCTTGAAATTTCAAACTATGCTTTCTTTCACATTTACAAACATAAAATCTGAAATGCTTATCGCAGACAATGGATATGGCTTGACAAGTCCGGTATGTTGTGTGAATGGAGAGCATTTAGCATGTAATCAATCAGTCACTCATTTACAGACACTCGGGCACACATACAGATGGCTGTTGGACACGCACACACAGACAGAGAGACAGAGTGAGAGAGAGAGAGAGAGAGAGAGAGCAGACAGTATAACAGTAAAACAGTGGGGTCCTCGTGGCCTCTGTCTAGTAGCTTAGTCTCAGCTCTATCTGTGGGGTGGATGCTGTCTGAAGGTGCCACAGGCTGGATGCACTCCAGCTGAGATCAGAGGGTTGGGACAGGAATGGTGTATCCCTGTGTGTGTGTGTGTGTGTGTGTGTGTGTGTGTGTGTGTGTTCATCTTTCTCTTGTGTCTCACATTCCAAAATCTCTTCTGAGAGCATGTGTGTGCACGTGTATCAGCCAGTGTATGTGTCTGTGTGTGTGTGCATGTGTGTGTGTGTGTGTGTGTGTGTGTGCGCTCTGCTAAATTGTGTGCATGTAAGTGCACTGGGAAAGTAGCGGGGCCTCCCTGAACAAAGGCTCAGCTCTTTTCTGAACAATTAGCTTCGCTAAAAAGGACATCTCTTCCTCCATTAGCGGCACCACGTGCCCCCCATCACTCCATTGTGCAGATAATTCAATTATCCCCACCCCCCTCTGAGCCTCTTTGCCTCCCAGACCTCCCTCTTCTCGTCTTGCCCTCCCTCCTTTCTGTTACCACCGCGCTCTCAGATAAAGCTCCGCTAGCCCCTGAAGCTGAAGGGAAAATACATCAGTCTGCAGTTTTAATTTATTTCTCATTGAATAAATAAAGATTGTACATTACAGTAAGTGTCAACACTCAAAAGAACAGTACATACTGGAAAGATAATGATCTGGCTGTGAAAATACAGTTTCTGGTTGTTGTATTTTGTTAATTGTTGTATAAATAGGCTTTACATTGAGTGGGATGAATTGACTAACTTACAATAGGATAGTCTCGATTCCACTATGAATGCACATAACAAGACACAGTGAGAGGTATTGACTCTTACCATTATCAGTGTACACTCATTGTAGTTAACAGTCTGTGAATATTGCCAAACTCATGGCATAAGCATTAAAACAATGGGAGGTCTCTCTTAGGATTCATTAAAGCACCACCTTTCCTGATGAGCTGGCATCTGTTGCATCATCACCCGTCAGTGATTGCGTGCGTTTCAGATCTGTATGTTCTCCAACTGAAGTGGTCCATAATTAGTCACTGCGCTATCAAGAGGAACTTACCACAGTAACACTTCCTTGAAATAAACTCATAGAACTCTGTGAAAGGGAAGTTTAAAAATCTGGTATTTGGCTGATGCTTTAGAGCAGAGAATCTCTTTAAAAATACAAACAAAGGAAAATAATAAGGTCTGTCTTGAAGGAGGGGGGTCAGTAGCTTTTAGTTAGGATAAATACTGAGACATGCCTTAAGGTCAATAGTATTTCTTTGGAAAAGAAGAAATCACCAGAAACTTGTAGTTTTTCTTGTAGTTCATCAAAGCAGTACTTTGAGTTATAATATAGAAATAAGTGGCTACTGTAAATGCCACATTTCTACTTACAATGCAACCTCTTCTCAGAAGTCTGATGTGGAAACTCAAATGCTAAAAAGTTCTAAAAATACTTAATAATGTTCAGTGCAGTAGTAAGAGATTGCCTCTTTCCTCTGTTTATTGACTAACATCTCTTGCCTAAGAACTATACAGTTCAAATCTAGGACCATGGCAGCGGTGTAGCCCATTCCTCCACAGTTGTCTGTCGCTTTTCCGTGTTTCCACTCTTGTTTTGTTTTATTGTTGGAGGGGGAAGTGTGCGCCGGCCTGATTAGCATCACTGTTTCCTCCTTTCCCATAACCCCCCAGACCCCCGCAGGCTGCCTGTTTACTTTTAGAAATAAAAAATGGGCCTGCGCCCGTGAGGACGTGCCCCTCATCAGAGGCGAAAGCCC